ATACTAAGAGTTAAGACCAAAGACTGAATATTACTTTAATATCACAGAACTTATTGTAAATTTACTTATTGTAAGTTTTTGCAATTAAGAAAGTTCTTGATAATTGACATTGCGTTCTTCATCAGCGCCTAAAAATGATTAGGATAAAGACATGATAAAAAAAAGAGATGATTATATCATGTTGAGATAATTTATCTCAAATCAGAAGGTCCCTGAGACAGATAGTGCGATTTTTATTAAAGCTGTAGAACTTCTAGAACACAATTTAATGGGCTTGTATTGTAAGATGATATTTCGATTTTTCCACTATGTATATTTTGCTAGAATTTCAACATAAAATACGTTAGTCAACGCTGCTAGTCAGAAACGTTAATATAACTGCAATGGCTAGATCTGTTTTAGATCGTGCTAATCATTTAAAAAAGGTTATTAAAACTTCAAGCTCCTCTCCCCTATTGATTTCCGATATTAGTACGAGCTTGTCATTATTGTATAATGTTTACTTTCTGTATAAATCTTTAGTTCAATAGATATCATTCATTTTGTGAGAAAATGATCTTGATAAAAAATATAGTAAGGGCTTACTTTATACCATAAACTATAGGAAAATTTTTGAGTTGTTAAATCAATAAAGGCATATAAGTTTTATTATATGTATATACGTATCAATTTTCTAATTCTTATTGTTCAGTCGTATAATGGGAATTCTGATTTGATGCTGTCGTGACACTTATCACAGCTCTGATGATGATAAGAAATGTTTATTATTTCTATTATGTCATTGTCCAATGCATGTGCTATGTAGGTTAAACTTGCTAGGGACATTCTTTCTATAACACCTAAGTCAGTTACAAGACCAGACGTTTACTAAAAGATTATCTTAGGTTTTATTAAAAGTTTAAACTGATTTGTACTTTGAGATTTATATGGCAATATCATGGATCAACAGGCTGAAGTGGATTTTCAGATTCACATTTATAATCTAACCTAATCTAATAATTCATTTTAATACCAATAGTTGTCACAACCGTTTTAAAAATGCCAATCGAATCTTATAATAAATCATTCTAAATGTAGTGCTCCACGAAAGTTTATACTGTCATAAATAATTTTTTAACCTCTTTTAACATCTTTAGTTTAATAATATTAAATTGAAAATAAATAAGAGTCAGTGCTTAAGATAAAAACTATTTAAATAACAATAACAACAACAACAAGAGAAAAATAATATGAAATTGCAATTATATATACGTACTTGTATGTATATGTATGTTTTCATGTATTTTGCAAATCAATTTAATGAGTTTTTAAAACTTTAACTATCGATTGATTTCATCTTTACATCCGTTAAAGAAAATGAAAGTAGCTTTTGGGATGCATTGCGACTCGACTGATTGCGCGGGTGGTTCTTCGAATTATTAACTGAAAAATAAATTGAAAATAAAAAAATTAAACAATTTCGTAGGCCTTTGTTTTCTGATTAAAAAATTTCTTTTAAAAATAGATATACATATATAAGTATATCTCGAGTGAGCCACACTTAATACTTTCTCTATTTAATAGTTGACATTGACTACAAAAAAACTGGAATTAATAATAATTATAGACACTAACTCATAGACTTACTAGTAATTAAAATATTAACCTATTATTGGATTAGTCTATATACAATCGATAACTGTAATAATCATGACAGTGTTCTATAATAGGTTTAAGCTATTTTAAAGCTGTTTTTATTAATTGAATTACTACATTAAACAAAACATTCTAACGCCAATTGACATCAGAAATAATATCAGTTTTTTTTGTATTAATTTAGCGAAATTCTATCGATAGATTTATTCTATGCTACTATACTATTTAGTACAACAGAGTCAATCTATTGTTTAAAAAGAACTTTTTTCAATAAGTGCATTACGTTGTTCTGGTGTTTTATTTGCTCAATTGACTCATTAACGAGTTCTCATTTGCGTATATGCTAGACTAACTGCAAATTTTTCTATTATTTCTTTTCTAATGAGTTTTGCTTGATATTAACTTGATATTTGTAAACTAATTCAGAGGACAACATATGTTAACGTTACAGTAGCTTTTAGAACAGCCTCTTCGTACGCCCTAATCATAATGCTACATCTCCTACCTATTGATCTCCATATTTAAAATACTGTTTGCAACACCGCTGTCAGACTGAAAGTAACAGGCGTCTGGGCACAAGGTAGATATAGACATAACCGGATTCTAGGACAGCTCCAAATGACATCGGATTATGTGAACCTATAATTATGCCTTGAACGAAACTTTCAGACAATATTTTATTCAAGAAACAGATGGAAGAGAAGGAACTTTCAAGCCAACTACGATATTTCAATTTTTACCGATGGTTCGAAAATGGACTGCGTGGAGAAGCAGGAATTTTTGCGTCATTTGCAGAGATGAATACAGGTTGACATAACTACCAGAGAGTTATTGTGTGATGTACACTACACTGAACGTTTGTACCTTGATGCATAGTGATATTGAATGATAGAATGGATCTATATTGTTTTCAAAATACTTTTTAAGAATGTGTGAGAAAGTAAAAGTAAATCATTTTCAAATTAAAAAATATTATCTGACTTACGCACCAGACTTAAATCTGACTTATATACTATTTTTAAATCTTTTTTAATATTCTATTTAGTTCTTGAAACTCTCTTCTCTTCCAGTCGCCATAGAGTAGCCAGACGATATTATATTAATTAGTTTTTTATTTTAATTTTTAATAATAATTTTAATTTAATTTAATATTAATAACAGAGAAAAGCATTTTTCTGAACTACAGGAAATCGTATTCATATGTTACTTTGAGAAAAGATAATAAATAACTTTTGATTAGCACTTAATCACCTCACCTCCAAAAGAAAAGGAGAACTAAAATTATTTTCAAAAAAAGTGAAAGTTTTCCCGCTCGTCTCGTGCTTGCAAAATGAAAAAGAAAAAATGCAAAATTCAAAACTTGTTTGCGGTGCGCCATCCGCCAAAGACGCTGATTCAATGTGAGAAACATTACAGTTTTATTATGGTTAGGAGCGAATTATAAACAAAAACGGTAAAAGTGCGGTGGAAAGTAAAGGTGCGTGCCGAGAGAGAACCAAAATAAATAATACTACAACATCTAAAACCACAATATTAAAAGGTGTGAATATTTAATTTTATCAAAATAGGCTTTATTCAACCAATCCATCTTTGTATCGGGAAATGTCTCCTGTACTTTTATGTTGATTATATATGCGTATATAGAGTACATAACCATTTGTAATATAAAAATCAAACTAATAGACAGCTGCACTTTCTTTTTGCAGTTCAAAAACAATAAGTTCCCTGACTTTGTATATTTGACTGACTAATTTTTCAGAGAATAATCCCTAGTTGGTGTATTGCTATAATCAAATAAATGAAACGTATGTAATAATCACTATCAGACAAATTTCGATATCATGATTAAGTGTAGAACCAAGTACTACACTTAACTTAAGTTTTTAGATTAGGTAGATTAGGTTAAAATGTGGTTAATTGCTTACTTTGATTATTGGCAGAGTTTTCTTTTCTTTCCAAATATCAAATAAACACCAATCAGCCGGATACAAAATTGAGGAGAAGCCAGATTTTTTTAAAGCCAGATGAAGACGATTATACATGAACTCTGTAAAAGAACTCCATAGTTCTTAGATTTTCATAAAGAAATATTATCCTTTCTCTAAATATCATGTAAGCAGCATTTTATTACCAATCAGCCGAATATAAAATTAAGGAGAACCCAGATGAAGAAGATTATTCATTTAGTCTGTAAAAGTACTCATTAGTTCTTAGATTTTTATAGTGGCATGCCCTAATGTAGTTTGCACTGCACATTTAAGGTTAAGGTCATTGTTCAAATATCTCTGCAGAACTGATGCTAAGTGCTATAAATAACAGTATTTAAATTGAGGTTATGGTCACAATTGTTTTTTATAGCTAAATCTTTCTTATAGCTATTATATATTGTAAATATAATTACACCACTTTGCAGTTTAGCTTATTATACATTAATTTAACTACACAAGTTTTCTAAAGATTATTCAAAATTATTGTTTTAAAGTTCAACTAATGTTATGTTAAAGTCCGAAAGCCGTGCTTATTTTCATTTTCTATCATAAAATGCTCACTCTTTTGCATATTGCCTACTCGATTGTCTCACTTGAGCAACATTTGAGCAAAAGATAAGAGCTGAAGAAAGATAATCACTGTCGCTTTCAATGAAAAATGAAAATAATGTAAAGTTATAATAGATATACAATATAATAAATAATATGTAAAAAATTAAAGAAAAAAGTTGTTATAATTATACAAGCAAACGAGTTCGACTTGTCCAATTCCTCAACTGCGTCCGGTTGGCAGTTTTTCCAACATTATTGTTATTTTGCTAATAATGATGCTAAAACAAGCACCTTAAAACTAAAACAATGCAATGGCATCGCATGATTCGAATGGAAAGGTAAACTTAGGAAAGGCAACAAGACCAATGTTCGCTGCATTGGTTGCGCTCAATTAACGCGTTTCTTTGCACATTCACAATCGTCCGTTCACAAATGAAGCAGTGGATGCGCGATCAAATGGGAATGGGAATGGCTTTGGCAATGGGTAATCCTCACGCTACTAGTTTATTTGGAATGATCGCGTTGTTATTAGTCACACGGAAGTAATTTGTGGGTCACTTTCACCAATAAACGTCTGATTTCAGTTTCCACCTGTTCATAAAACACAAAAACAATAAATAGTTAAGTTAATGTTTATTATCAGTAACACACAAAATGCACACATTGCAACATAATTAAATATCTGCATATGTTAATATATACTACACCATAATAATAGTAATAATTGCCTAATTTTTTTAAATACACTAATCCATATACATATCTATATATCTATATTTATTATCTATATCTATATTATATATATCTATATCTATTAAATTTCAGTATCAGTAACTCCACCACCTCAAAGACCATGGATACCATTAGCAAAACCAAATAAGTCTAGACCAGCCTGTATGTACACTTTTAATTAAACCATTAATTAATTATATGTGTAGACATTATTTATATTCTTGATACTTTTAGGCATTTTTACGGTAATGTGCTATAATGTTTTGTGTGATAAATATGCTACACGACAAATGTATGGCTACTGCCCTTCTTGGGCTCTTTCTTGGGAATATAGGAAGAAAGCGATACTGGATGAAATTCGCCATTATTCAGCCGATATTATTAGTCTTCAGGAAATAGAAACTGATCAGTTTTATAATTTCTTCTTACCTGAGTTGAAGGTTGACGGTTTCGAGGGTATATTTTCACCAAAATCACGTGCAAAAACTATGTCTGAAGTTGAAAGAAAATATGTGGATGGATGTGCAATTTTCTTCAGATCAGCAAAGTAAGTTAGTAGGAACTATAGGATAATGTAAATATAACTGCAACATATATTAACAGTTCAGAGGATGACTTCGACATCCTGCATTTAAACTTTTAAGCAATAATTGTATGTTCTTAAGCAATAATTGTTCTCTGTATACTGAAGTTTGTGATATGAAAAAGTACATCTGTTAAAAAAAAGATAAGGTGCTACTAGTTGTTTTCAAGTGCTTCTTCTTTCACATGTTGTGAGTATATCTGATATAAGGTCTGTTCCACGAGCCACTCGTACTAAAACTCGAATAAAACACAGGTTAAGTACAAACTAAGAACTCTGAACAAATATCTAGCCATTTCATGGAACAGTTTTGTCTAAAGTCTGATGTCAACAGCTGTTTTTAAATGAATTAAACAATTAATAATTTAAAGTTGAAGTTTTCACTTATTTGTTGTGTTATTTTACACTTTTACACAAATAGACTGAATTTAAATTCGTAACAAAACTGGTAATTTATACATCAACACCAATTTTACTAGAAAGAAAATGTTCGAGCTAAGTCTGTGCTTCGTGTTATTATATCCACAGGGATGTTACGCTCTATCAGGCGCTTTCTATAACTTGAAAATTCGCTAGTGAACGGACTTATGGAGACTCGTAGTTACTCAAAGTTACTACCAAGTATCTCATAATAAATTGATTTAAATACTTAAAAAGGGTAATAATTTTTAAGTTGTTACGGCATAAAACCATTTGATTATTATTCAGTTATTGATAACCAAGACGATTGCTTATATTGTCTTCTAGTTGACAGGCCGAAAACAGCATGTTTATTCACTGAAAAATATCAATGCCATGATAAAGTTCGTATTGAATGTGGAGGTTCGTGCTAAGATGTACAGGAATTAAGATCGTAGTGCTAACTTTTCTCTTAAAGTATAAGTAGTTTATTTATAAATAAAAAACTACCAAGACTACGCAGCATCTACGCAGTAGTCAAATATATTCAACATATATATATGCTCTCACAACAATTGCATATTAATACACTTACAATATATACATATATAATGTATAAATATAATCATATTTTATTAAATTTATATATTAATGAATTTTAATAATATTTTATTTTATTTGTTTTTACAGGTTTAGTCTTATTAAAGAACAGCTTATTGAATTTAATCAGCTAGCTATGGCTAATGCAGAGGGTTCCGATAATATGTTAAATCGTGTGATGCCGAAGGACAATATTGGTTTAGCAGCACTACTTAAAGTTAAAGAAACCGCTTGGGATCCGATGACCGAGGTAACACAAATAACACAGCCATTGCTTGTTTGTACCGCACACATACATTGGGATCCAGAATTTTGTGATGTTAAACTGATACAAACAATGATGCTCAGCAACGAATTGAAAACTATTATCGATGAAGCCAGTCACAGCTTTAGACCAGGCCATAAGAATGATGCAAACAGTGTACAGTTATTGCTATGTGGGGATTTTAATTCGTTGCCAGATTCCGGAGTGATTGAATTCCTTGGTGAAGGACGTGTTTCGATGGATCATACGGACTTTAAGGACATGGGCTATAAAGCATGCCTACAACGTTTACTCTCAAATGATACAAATGAGTTTACACATTCGTTTAAGTTGGCTTCAGCATACAGTGAAGACATTATGCCGCATACCAATTACACATTTGATTTTAAGGGTATCATTGATTATATTTTTTACACGAAAACCGGAATGGTGCCATTGGGTTTATTAGGCCCCATTTCGAATGATTGGTTGCGTGAAAATAAAGTTGTTGGTTGCCCCCATCCGCATATACCATCAGATCATTTTCCATTGTTAGTGGAATTAGAGTTAATGCATACGGCTGGACAGCAAGCACCGCCAAACGGACTTATCAATCGACGGTAGCAATAAAATTTAAAGAAACCATTGCATAACTCTAATAAAAATATAAATAGTGTTAAAAATCATTATAACAAAAATAATAATAATGTTAATAAAGGCAGCAGTAGAAATATTAATAATAATTACAACAATAATACAAGTACTATCAATAACAATAACAATAACAAAAATAAAAACATTAGCAATAGTAATATTGATAAAGTTGAAAATGCTGATAACAAAAACAATAATAATAGAGATGATAATAATATTGGCGGTAGTAATAATAAAAATTGTAACAAAAATAATACTTTCAAATATAATAGATGTTTTTATAACAGAACTAATTATTATAATAATAATAATCATCAGAATAAAATAAATAAAAATCAAAATACAAACTATGGTTATAACAAAAATTATAATAAAAATACAAGCCACAACAGAAATCATAGTAATAATAGTAATAATAGTAATAACAGAAGTAAAAAAAATGATAAAAATAATAGAAATATTAGAGAAAGTATTGATTACAGCAATGATTATAATAAAAACAAAACTAATAACAACAACAGTAATATTAGAAAGAACAGAAATGATGAGAACAATAAAAATAATAACAATGCCAGCAGCAGTAATAATAACAAACCTCTAAATAATGAAAATGATAATCACAACACTAGTAATGCAAAAGAACCCGATAATAGCAATAACGACGTTGAAGACAACAGCAGCTATAATAATAACAGCACCGGTAACAATAACAGCAAATGTAAAATTACCAACAAAAGTAACAATAACATCAAAATTAACAATACCAAGAAACTTATTTTTAAATACAATACAAACAAGAATAGCAATAGCAATAGCAGTAGCAGTACCATTAGCAATAATGTCAACAATTCAAATAATGAAACCAATTATAGTAACAGCGGATACAATCTTAACAGCGATAACAGCAACACTGGTAATAACAGCGATATCAGTCAGAAAATGAGCAGCAGTAACAGCAGCTGCTCTCCAATTGAGAGTAGCGAAAATTCTTCAAGGACCATAAGAACAATATTATATGACGTAATAATGTTAGATGAATATTTATTTTTTACATACATACATACATAAATTAAACGTGTAAATCTAGTTCTAAATATAATTTATTTAGAATTAAATTAAGCTATGTAAATTTTTATGTTTCCATCTAAATATATTTTGATATCACAGTTTTATTGGCAAAAAAAGAAAAAACCGAAAATTTTAACAAAAAAAACCTTAAATTATTTGTGTAGTATTTAGGGTGAAATAACTTTAATTATTGTATATTATATATGTGAATATCGATGAGATTAAGTAATATTAAAGTGTTTGCAAACTAATCCGATTGCTAATAAGATATTTTTTACTAGTCGGAGTTTGTACATATAAAGATCTCAATCATATAACCAAAATCGACTTACTACAAAGTAGTAGTTCAAGATAAAAAATTATATATGTTTTCTTAGGAGAGTGTGGGTTTTTCCTGCGTTAATAATCGATTAATGTTCTCAACAATACGGTACTCACTAACTTGTACTCAATAAATTTAAAAATGTTGATATAGTTATAAACTAAATATCGTATTTTGATCAAAGAATATTAGAGACCAGCTGTATTATTTAAGTTGTATAAATTTATAGGAAAATAAAAAATTGTATATAATTAAAATAAAAATATTGGTTGGAAATAAAATCTCAAATTCTTTATTCAACTGGTACTTGGTTGATATACATTTAAGCAATATGCATCATGTTCATTCAATAAAATAATACTCTTAAAGTTTCATAGCAAATAAAAATAAATTATTATAAATTTAAATAATAAATTATTTTAATTTGTATAAAAACAATCAAAAATTAAATGTTTGGAACTAAAAGAACAACCGCAGATTAACGTAAAATGTAAATATAAAATATTGGATAATTTAATAAATTATTTATATTAAGAATATATAATATTTCATTAATTTTATTATTGTCATATTAAAATTGAATATATTATTTATATAAATATTTCTCATTTTCGTTAATTTTTTCACATCTTTTTAAATGATTCATATTCATATTCTACAACATAAACATTTTAGTTTTGAGTTCAATTACATAATTTTTATTATTTATATTTTACTTACCATATATATATATTTTTTTTATTTAAAAAAAAAAAAATAAATAGCTGGTATATACTTTTGCATTTAAAAAAAGTAAATAAATTAATTTTTTATTCTCAACTCCAACAATTTTTAAATAAGAAGCAAAATATATTTACTATTTCATTTTTTTCCATATATATACATATATATATACATCGATATTTTTACAAAACTATTTTGAATTAAATTATGAATAGTATGATAATAATAACAATAATTTATAATTATGAATAAATTAATTTTTAATATAATTTTTTATTTAAATTTTTAAATATTCAAAACAAGAAATTTTTAATTTATAATTATGTAATTAATTAATTTCTTTATAATAATTTAAGACTGGTTTAGAATAATTTCTATTTTTGAATAACATTAACAATTTACACAAAATCTTATTTTATATATACATGCATACGTAACATAAATATTATATATTGCATAATATAACTTAATGAAATTTTAAAAAATATTTCAATTCATATATATATATATATATATATAATATGTGTGTGTGTATAAAAGTAGAACCTCTAAACTTATACATAAAATCAAATCGGCTTAAAAGATAATCAAGAACCCAACTTCACTGCAGCTCTCAAAAATTAATTGACTAGCAAATTTTACAATATTTCCTTTTTTTCAATTGAGAATAATAAATGAAAGTCATTGTTAATGCAATATGTGTCACGAAAAACTCCAACCTACTTTTCGAGAAAACTATATATCTAATATATGATTAACAGAGCGAGTATCTGAGAATCAAACTATATATAATACAATATATTTTTAAGTATACAAACGTCATTTTATAACCTAACACAAATAATGTACTTTGTTGATCAAAATATTTACATACATTTTTTTTGTTTGGCTAAATATGAATTAATATAACGTAATAAGTTTACACATAAAATAATAAAACAAAACTTAAATGTATGTTTAAAAAATTTCACTCTTAATATCTTTTTTAAACAATTTGTAAACAACTATCAAAAACATTTGTATATATGAATAAATAAAAAAATAAATAATAAAGATTTTAAAACCACTTATCTATCAGATATATGTCTAACAATAAGATAAAAATCAATATTATATTAATTTTTTGCTACATTTTTTATAAATAATAAATAAACTATTCTGCAATAATATTAAAAGAAAAACTTTTCATTTATTTTAAATATATAACTTTGGTTCAATAATTATATATATAAATAATACTTGGTGTTAATACTTTATTAAAAATATATATATTAATAATTTCCAAAATAATGTTGCTGAAATATTTTTGAATAATTTATTTTTTATGTTATTTATATAAGTAAAAAATTAAATTCTAATTTTAAATATTAATAACAATAATTTTAATTACTTTTCTGTTAAAAGATATGAATATAATTATAAGTAATATTCAATACAGTTCAATAATATAATTGCAATATTTCACTTAAAATATATTAAGGTTATTTATATATTAATAATTTATGTATGTATGTATATAAATTGATGTAGATTTATGAATATTCAGACAAGAAGCAACATAATTTTCATTAGTCCTGTTTAGTTTTCATTACATTTATTTCATAATCATCCTAATCGTAGTTTACACATAAGAAAAAATAACAGAGATTCAAAATAAAATAAAGTATGATTGTAAAAAATTATGAAAAGCTGTCTTTATTCGAGATCAGTAATGTTTATAATCTATATTAAAAAAAAAATACTGTTACTTTTTAATAAATTTCTGCTGAGAAATGTCATTTGTCTTGTTGGTGTTAAACAGGACAATGACGAGTGAGATAATATATGTATATCAACCATGTAAATATTCTAGAAATATTGAATGATCATCGTAGCTGATATACCTGTATGTACGTATGCTAGAAACGGCTGTAATCACAATTCGTAAAATATAAGGTACAACATACAAAGTTCTTAAATATACTGGTACCTTCTTCTAGCCTTCTTTCCTAACTACGACTCAAAGAATTAAACGTTGCAAAAGCATTGGTTTACATAGCAGGTGATTTTCTGATTACTGCTCCCTCTCAACTTATTAATCAGTACACCAGAATTTGATTAACTTGATCCTGATTAAAAATGATTTAGTTCTTCAAAGCATAGATGGTCATGATTATATTTTCAAGAGCTCGTCACAAAATACAATAGTTAAGATATGGAATCACTTTGATTATGCTAATTTGTAATCACAAGTGGTTATAGGCAACAAGATGATATTTTTTCCTTTATAACAGTTTACATATAAAACCATCACATTTTTTTTTAGAATTCAACAAATTAAAATATTTTATTTTCGAAATGTTTAACATTTTCAAAATGTATCAAAATATTTTTAAATAATATTGTATATTTTTGCATATATATATGTTACAGCGATATATAGATTTTATTCATATGGAAACTCAGTTCCAAGGGATTCATTGGTTTGTAACTTGTTACAAATAGACTTCCATGTGGTACTACACTTTGCTAACAAGGTTGCATTCCCTATAATATACATTCCGTACTTTGCTCGCGATAACGCCACACATATGCGATTTGGCTGTGTTAGGAAACCGATGTTATTATTACGATTATTCCGTACAAGTGAGAGTAACACAATATTAGCCTCAAGTCCTTGGAAACTATCTACAGTTCGAGTCCTTATATTGCAGAGCTGCTGTGTGCTATTTAACTGAAAATAAAACTTGAATTATAAAAATGTTAGATATTCAATTATTCACCTTAGCTTTTATTAGATCAACTTGTTTAGTGTAGGGGCTTAAAATCACAATGTCCTCACACGTATATTTTGACTCATTTACCAAATAATTAGCTAATTTGTATAATTTTCTTACTTCAAATTCATTACATAGCGAGCTCTCCCAATTCGACTAACCATAATTTAATAACAATTATTTTAAAATTATTAATGAATGTTTAATTAAAAATTACCTCTGGCTTGCTTTCAGCGTGATCGTGATCGAGAAAATATAAATTCTTTTTCATTTTTCTTATGTCTTCTAAATTTTGAACTACTTTTGCATTTTCAAGATTTTTGTAAATTACAGGTTGCAGTAGATCGGCTATAATTGGACGCATGCGATATTGGGTTGTAAGTATGGAATACTGAAAATTATTTTTAATTAAACGTTCAAATAATGATATGCATCGAGAATGATTTGAGATAAAAGGTTTTAACTGCATATGGTCTCCAATCATAATAACATGTTTTGTATATGGTGTCAGGCAAGCTACCACATGAGATTCCAAAATTTCGGCTGCCTCTTCAAATATAACTACATATAGGACGGACATAATATACAAAATAAAGTCATGCTATTTATCTTTCTGTTATTAATATTAATACATTACAGATGTATTCACTTACCAACTTCACATTTTAACAAGCGGAAGAGGAAGTTAATTCTCGCTGCACATGTGGTTGTCATTGCAATAACAGATTTGTCTTTTGCTACATAATAATGAAACATAATTCTGATGGTTTGTAATTTTCGTTTGACGGAATGTAGCTCATCTTGTGCCTTCAATATTTGATAGTAACTTTCATCAGTCCCATCAAATTCGATATAACTTTTCTGTAGGATATGAAATTTCTCCTTAAATTCCATTTTCGTTACATAGTGTAAGCGTTTTAATTGCGGATTAAACTCAAAGTTATCGGTGGTATAATTCCGTATATTGTATTTATCAATTTCCGGTAATCGGGTTTGACTGCCGAAACGAACTATATTTTTAGTGTGTGTAGAAAGCTTTAGTAAAAATTTGTCTAAAGATTCATTTGTGTAAGTAATGACTACAACAGGCTTAGCAGAATTTTGAATAAGAGTCAATACTAAATGCAGTGATAGATAAGTTTTACCAGTGCCAGGAGGTCCTTGGATTAAACTAAATTCTTGCGTTAAAACACTTGTAAGCGCGTCTCGCTGCGCGGTATTTAATGATACTGAACTACTCGGTATATTTTTTAATGATTTTAATGTTGCTCCGTTTAAGTAAACTGGAGTTTTTGGTTGTATCTAAAAGAAATACCAAACATTTAGCAAATGAAACAATCAATAAACTTAAAAATATAAAATATTAATATACAATACAATCCATTAATATAAATTAATATAAATTTAGATATATTTACCTCACCATCAATAATATAATTTTTCATTCCAAAATTATTTAAATTAGATTTTTTAAAAAAGTTGTATACATTGTAATAGGGTTCAAAAAATGTTGGAGCTTCAAACATAAGAAATTTCTTTTGGTATATATTACCAATATTATACTGACGCACAATTTCAATAGACACCTAAAAGAAAAACATAAAATAATTAAATAAAGTTTTTCTATAAATCATAATTTGTCTTACAAAGCCATTATTTATAAACTTTTTATCAATATTCGCCACTGTTGCTAATACTAAGTTCTCGAATTGATTACTTGCTGTGAAACAAAGTAGAGACCCAGTCTTTAAATTTTGTAGTGCGTTCTGGCTTTTAATCGATTTTAATAGCTTTCTACCATTTTTTTCTTTCCGCTGACTACCAAGAATATCGGCAAAAGTCAATTCTTGATCAGAAAACTCTAAAAACTCTGTATTAAGTACAATGCAGACGTCATCAAATAAAACTGACGGAGCAGGAACAGTATTGGTAGCCTGCAATTGTTTAACGGCGACATGTAGTGTTCGTAAGAAATCAGTACGTAAAAGTTGTTTCTGTTCATCAACATAATTACAAACATTTTTACAGGATTCTTCTTTCAATTGCGTAGTACAAGTATTGTTTTTTATATTTTGTTCTTCTAAATTTACCAATTCCTAATAAATAAATTAATATGTTTATATATTATTATCGAGTCTTATCAGACATACAATATAAACAAACCTCGGAACATAATTCAGCTTTGTCATTAATTTCTTTGTTTTCAGATAGAATCTCTTCAAGTGTGGGGTAAATCTTAAATTAAACACAATGATTTTTTTTATATTATTGTATTTATATGTATGTGTCCCAAACCTCAGAAGTTGACATTTTCTCGCTATCGTCTGAGCAGTCATTTTCACTTAAATTTTCTTGCAAAAATTTTAATGTGCTTGCAAGTTCGATGCAAGTAGTGCGTTTTACAATGTCAGCAGAATCACTGACAGATATAGATTTTATGATTTCGTTTTTTACCTGCACTGCTTTTACAGATTTAAATATGACACCAGTTAGAAAAGATTGCAAGTAAATTTTCTGTAAATCACTTAAGATTTGATCAACATAAATTTCATCTTTCCACATCGAAATGTACTTCCGCGTAAATAATTTTGTCGCAATAATACGTAAATGTTCCAAGAACACAGTATCATTCATTACACTTCCCAATAGGTCGCTTTGAAAATCTAATAACTCCAAACTACATATTTTACCTGAGAATTTATTAAAGCAAATCATATCTTAATTACTAATTTATCTCTTATATTAATAACTAATACCAACAATACGTAAATATAATACCGCTCTTTCCAATGAATCATTCGGAGTAATTTGATCTATGAAAAAACTTGGTTCACAAGTAAATGCATATAAAAATGCCTCATGATCGGTTAAATTTGCCGTTTTTCGCAAATCACTAGTAGCAATTTTTTTGGAATGTTTTTTGTTATGAGATTCGTTAACGGAGGCATTTAATTGGCACTGTTTACTGTAATCAGCTTAAAGAAATCAAATTATTAATAATATCCATAAATAATATTTTACATACTTACAGACAGTGTTCGCAATCGTTATATGTTCAACCTTATTTTCATTCTCCTCTTTTGTTTTTGTGTTTATTTTATTGACCAGTTCATCCTCATCCTGATTAAACCAATCGTCATCAGATAAATCGTTCTCGGCCATGTTAGCTTATTATTTGTGAAGTCCCAAGTTCGCTGATTAAACTGACTCATAAACTGATCTATATTAACTACGCTCTATGCGTTGTCCACCGTTTTAAAAAAAACCATTTTATGACTTTGTATATATACTGATGTGAAACTTATTGTCTAGTTTTGAACTTATGGTGGACAATTTGTTGTATTTTACGCAACCATGCACACAATAAATGCTTATATTTTCTGATATTACTCAACTTCTGTTCAGTTGACAAATAATTTATTAAAAACAAATAATTCATTATAAACTTTATCATTTTTACAAATCATTATAACTTAACACATTTATATAAGTACTACAGTAATACAATTTACAAAATGGAAACTACCTCCATGAGTTTATTTACGGTACAACTCTACGGTTCAAAGCAGAAGAGCTTTTAATTCATATATCAATAAATTAATACATATTTACTTAATTTCAAGTTTCATTTAGCGGTTGTACAAACTTGTGAAATTTTGTTTGGCATGTTTAGCGTAGGTTGGAGTGGCAATCTTCAAGTACAAGCATAACAGATGTAATATCGCCGTTATAACTAAAATTTTGAATATTCTTTTAGTTAATGATGGATACTGACACATGAGGTGGGGGATACATTACTGCGTCAGTTCCGATTTAGTTAAAATTTCTGACTCACGTGATATATGTTCAATTTGGACTAGGTGAATTTTGTGATCTGACAAGAATGTTATGCTTGATTTGCAGTTTAGCTATCGCAACAGTAATATTAAGAAATTAAATATAAAAGAAGATACGTCTTCTATGGCAAATTTTTCTGGTTTAAAATAGTGGCTTCTGGTCTGAAGCCACTATATCAGATACTCATATAATTCGAACACCGACAAGACCAGACGCTGCCGAACCAGATTTAGATCTGAACGACTTTTGGTACTTATCAAATTATTTCTGTTCAGCATCGAAAAGACGTCGCAAGAAGCGTAAGGTAAGGAATTACCTCCATCTTTAGTAGAAATGGTGCTGATCCCATCGTATAGGTTTTCGTTATCGGAAGAAACTTCTTTGAAATTTGCAACTTCTTTGAGTAATTTTATAGCAATGTGGACATCTGCTTTGTAAGCTCAGGCTGAGCGACTCGAAATCGCAGTTTAGAACATGTTAATAAAATGTCATTGACAAGTCATTGACGTGATTGAAATACTTTTGTTTTAATTTTTCAATATAAGATAATAACACGTTTTATAATTTTTAATTATTTTCTTTTAAAGAGGTTTTTTCGAACAGTAGTGAAATACAACAACAAAAATTTATTTTTTATATTATTTTAATTAATTGAATTTTTGGCTGACCATACAGCTGTTTCGAGTATTGCCAAATACCCATCATCAGTGGTCTTTTCTTTTAAAATAGCGTTTCCTTGAGTTAATTCTTTTTTATATACATTATAGCATTCAACTTTTCCTCTTCACATGATTTTCGATCTCTTTTTCCTTAAGAGATTTTAAGTCACTATCGTAGTAACATTGATGTACGATAGCACGATGGTGTAGGAGGTGATGTTATCAGAGCAGGAGGTGATAGTGTTAGTGCAGAAGATGACGATGAAAGATGATGACCGTTAGCTGTAAATAATATGTTTTTATATTTGTCAGGTTATAAAGTCAGGCATATAAAAGTCCATTTGAACGGAATGTGTGCCATTTTCATCATCATCAGTTTACTAGAAAGCACACATTCAGCTTATTTTGTATTAGAAAATTTTAGATGTTTTTTCCAATATAATATATTATTGATATATATTATTGGTATTGAATAAATATGTATATAAAACTTACTAACAGATAGGAATATTATATGGTGAAAATTTCAGTGATTTTAGCTAGTGTTAGTGCATTTTTTACTAACTTAACTTAGTAAGTAAAATTCATTAACCATACAAAGAACTTTCGTGCTTTTTCACTTATTACGATACATAGTTGTATTTTAATTTATTAACGAAACGCGAGCCTGTAAGCGGATTTCTTTTGAAATATGAGTGCGAGTGTCACATACACTGTGCTCTTTGCGCTTATCAACAAAAAACAGCTGATATTTAAGATGCCACTCAAAGATTCTTATTTACACATGGATACATATTCTGTTTATTGTACGTTATTTACATTAGATATATAAACAAAAATAATGTATCAGCAGTTAGAAGAACATAACCGTTTAGTTAATAAGTATTTAAAAATAACATTTGTAGTAGCATTGTACTGGTAAGCAAGTTACTTCGAAGCTTAATTCCTTATCGAAAGCAACGAGAAGATCGCACTGGATTTTGGTTTTATTTGTTTTACTCATTTTAGGATCGTGTCGATATTGACTGTTTTCGTTAATAAGCTTTTGCTAAGCAGCGATATTGTAAATTTAGAGGCCCCGCTATTCGTAACTTGGTTTCAATGTGTAGTCTCAACTACTATATGCTTCACGATGAGTTGCCTTGGCAAAAAATATCCAGAGTTCATAAAGTTTCCTGATGGTAATCCTCTTGATATTGATACAGTGCGAAAGGTACGATAAATTTTTATAGCATAACAACTACTCTATAATTTATCCAAACGCAACTTGCAGGTAATACCACTTTCTATACTTTTTACATTAATGGTAGGCACAAATAATTTGTGTCTTAAATATGTTGGAGTGGCATTCTACTATGTAGGGCGATCGTTAACAACAGTATTTAATGTAATATTAACTTATATACTTTTACATCAACGTACAAGTTGCAAGAGTATATTCTGTTGTGCAGTTATTGTGTTTGGCTTTCTTTTAGGTGTGGATCAAGAAAGCCTAACTGATAGTTTCTCTTGGCGAGGCACTGTTTTTGGTGTGTTAGGTTCACTGTCTTTGGCATTGTATTCGATACGTACAAAAACAACCCTAGCGCACGTTAATCAAGAAATATGGTTATTGAGCTACTACAATAACTTTTACAGTTGTTTATTATTTTTACCATTAATAATTTTAAATGGGGAATTGGAGGCTATTATAACATATAAGGATCTATTTGCGCCATGGTTTGTTGCAGCTATGATTGTTGGAGGTATTTGTGGTTTTGCAATCGGTTTTGTAACTGCATTACAAATTAAAGTAAGTGTTTGATGTTTGGTTTATTAAAACTTATTTTATATGAAAACTATTTTCATTGTTGCAGGTTACCTCACCATTGACGCATAACATATCAGGAACAGCAAAAGCGTGCGCACAAACTATTATTGCAACACAATGGTTTAATGAAAGCAAATCATTTCTTTGGTGGGTATCAAATGTAATTGTACTACTAGCAAGTGCAGCGTACACACGTGTAAAGCAATTGGAAATGCAGTGGGCGCACAATCGCAGTAATATAGCACAAAAAGCCTAATGATTAATAATAAAATTTATGGGTATTAAATAGACAAATTAATAAAATGTTAGTTTTATATTAAATAAATTATGACTTTTCTGTACAGATGCCACAGTTTACTTGTTAACTCATATTATAACAGCAATAAGATTAAAATTTCATTAACATTTATAAAATAATATTACATTTAATGAGACATTGAAAATGGCAGAATCTATGCTTGTAAACAATTTTGTTTTAATGAAGCACAATTTAAAAGCAACAATTACGAAGTAAACCGATTTACTGTAGCTATGCACGCAGTCGGTGTTTCACTTAGTTCAAATTTATGTATAAAAATATGTTGCTTCATTGATTGTTACTAGTTTTGGTCAAAGTTTAAAAACCGTTGTCCTTTTTTACACACTCCTTTTAATTTTAGTGGTACAATATCTTTTATTCAGGAAAAACTACGAAATTGATCGACATTACTACTAATATTACATATACATCACAATCTCGATAATATTGACCTCTAAAATATTTACTAAGAACTAAGAAAATGCTCTAATAGATACTGTAAACTACTAAGTATTGAATATATGTGTGAAGAATGTTTGTAATTCGAATATGTGAGATTTTATTAAAGCATATCTTAAGCCCCAGAATTTATCCATTAAGATATAACTTGTCTGTTTTTAATCAATTTAACCAATTTTCAGTAGTTGTTTACTGTATGTACCATAAAATTTATGACCAATATAGTAGAGATGAGGAAAAAGACTTTCGAATAGCGTTTACATATTACACATATTTTTCAAAACATTATTAAACCCTTAACCATTTTCTATTCCAGAACGATTAATTACTTTAAATTTGATCTTAATTCGCACTCTATCATTCACTCTTTCATTCTCGTGTCGTTCTCAATTCTCAATTCTCGTGTAAACTGTTTAAAAACAAATCAAATAATAATCAATGACGTCGTAGAAGTTATTAAATTAAAAATAACTTTATTTAACAAAAAGTTCACATATATTTGCCATTAATTAACAGCGGCTAATTGTTGGTCTTCGTTTGTATCTTCAAGTTCAGCTTCAGATTGAACAGTTGAATGCGTGCTGCCGGATTTTGAATATAATTCTGGTACATACAAAAATGGATTAATTTTTAACAATTCGCTACTAGGCGCACTTTTTAGAAACACTTGTGTTATGAATTTGCCGTCACGTTTTGGACGTACAGAATTTACGTCCTGTAGTAATGCACTTAAGTTTTCTTCTAAGCATTTTGTTTCCATATCTAAGGTACCAACATTTGTTGCAATTAATGCGAAATTCTGTTGATGTTCATCTTTAACAGCTTTATAACTTATGCCATTTGAAAATTTTGTTATCATTTCACCTAAGTTAGTGCCTAAAGTCTCACTTTTAGGATTTGGAAATTTACGTTTCATTAAACCACGTAATGCAACTAATTCAGCTAGTATGTTGGGATGTGCTATAACAAACTGGTAATCAGTGAGTAGTAGTTCTCCATCGGTTATATCTTTAATTAATTCAATTCCACCAACAAGGGCAGCACCAGCAGCTCTAGCTTCAGCAATTTCTTTCTGAAAAGAACAAATTTTGATACCATATAAAATAAATAAAATTATTTTAAACCTACTTGGCCTTTCGTAAAAACCATAATTTTACGATCTTCGCCATGATTGAATTTATGCTCTATCATAGCAATGCGCTGAAAGTTATCTACAAATCGTGTGCTTTTCTCTGCTTGCATATTAAGTTGAATATTAACTTCTAACGGCGCGTTTGGAACATTATAAATTGTAGGATGATGCGTTTCTCTATGGCACTGTATAGCCTCTGCGACACTATAAATTGGTCGCTGATAATATTTCATAACATACACGTTATCCTTTGGTATCTGCTTCCAAGAATCACTTATATGTTTATCGAAACGTTGTATATTAATCCTAAAAAAAATAAATGTTTCATGATGCGAAAATATTTATTTCAGTTTTATTTACTTTTTTGAACGTTGATTGTGTGGTATAAAACCCACTTTTTTAACTTCCACTTTAACTTTCTTCTTACGAGCTTTCTCGCGAGTACCTTTGCGAGCCGCATCACATACAGCCGACGTAAATAAAGCCCGTCGAGTGACTTCGGCAAATAACGTTTTTACTGTTAACATTTTACTGATAATAAATATGATAAGTACGTAATTTTAATTATATATTCCTATTAAAATCACACACGAGTTGCAAGAATTGTATAACTTTGTGATACTTCCCGTTGTGCATCCAATTTATTTATCAGCTGTTTGTCTTCACACATTTTAAACAGTTTGAAAGGTACTGTATTTTGTGAAAAGTGTTCATAAAAATTGTAATGTACTTGTGATTTGAAGTATTCGGTTCTATTGCGGGTAATTGTTATTTATGAGTGGTTTTTGAGAACATTCGAGTTTTTGACTCGTTTTCCTATCAATAATATTTTTTTACTTTACTTAAATCTAAGTATATTCTACTATTCCAAACCAAACCCATGTTATCTATTAATGTTCAAGTCAAGTCAAAAGAAATTATATACTACATAAAAGGTCTGTTCCACGAGCTACTCGTAGTAAAACTCAAGTAAAACACAAGTACAAACTGAGAGCGTAATACAAATAAAGTGTCAAATTACGCTCTTTATACTGATTTTCATGAAACAGCTTTGTGTAAAGTCTGGTGAGAACACCAGTGCCGCTTAAATAAACAACACACAAATTTAAATTGAAACCAAAACAGCTGATTCATGCATCAACACAAATTTTACTTGAAATAAAAGTCTGTGTAGCATTTTCAATTTTCGACAGGAATGTTACGCTTTCTCAGAAGCTCTCGTTTACTCGAAAATTTGCTGGTGCAACGAAAATTGTGTTACTCAAAGTTACTACGAGTAGCTCGTAGAACAGACCTAAAATTTACGAGTACAGTCTGTGTAGCATTTTCAATTTTCGACAGTGATGCTTAAGGTTTTCATAGGATTTTTAAGGTTACTAATATTTAATCAGCGTTATTATGTAGAGCAAATGTGCTATTAAAATGTTTAATTTAGTGGCAACAAAAATGATAATCAATATCTCCAATAGTACTATGATTACTTAATTATACTTCTTGGTTTTAACAAAAGAAGAAAAAGACATGGTAGTGTTGATTTAAAAAAAGCTGCTTGTTTATAAAAATATCTTTGTATAAGTACATTAATTTCGCTCATTTTAGAACTAAGAGTATACAATATGGAATAATTCGGCAAATTCCTTATTACTTTGGAATGTATGTTTTGTTTTAAGAGAAGTGAACAGCCAAGTGTAGTCTCCATATGCGTAACTCGGTAGAGTTCCTATGTTTTAACGTGTTTTTATAGTTTTAACAAAAAAAAATTATAATTTTCATTAACTTATTCTATTATTTATTTTAAAGTAGTACATAGCCTATTTGAATATGAGCGAAGGTTGTTGGGGAATCAAAAAACATGCTACAAACCAAAAAAATAAATGTTTCTGTTATGTTAGTATATCACCTTCCTTTTCTTCACTCATGGTAATCTTAAATATGATTATGAATCAAGTGCCTAGTTAAGTTTTAATTGACAAGAAAAACACACTTTAATAATGCAATCATTTAAATTAACAATTAATTGTAAAACAAAGTAGAAGAAACCTGGTCCCGCCATTATCAGAACGACTGTTAGTTATTCCTAAAACTAAAAAAAACTCTAAAGACTACTGAAGAACTTTACAATATCCTTTAGTTTAAGTCAGCAGAATCCTTTTGGTTTGATAAAAGCCAGTTAGAGTTGCTAGATTCGTATCAAAGTTGCTAAAGTTGCTAAAGTTGCTAATAGAGAATCAGAGGATACGAGCAGAGAAAATGGGGACATAGTCCACACTTCTTTGCACAAAATCTGCAGATGTCAGCATTCTTTCATCTTATCAACTTCATTCTAATTTTTTGAGAATTTTATTTAACATTTGATAAAAGTAATTAAATTAGAATAAAACAATAAATTTGTACTTTACTTATTGGATTTATGTTGGAAGTTAGAATGACATGTTCTGGTAGTAGACATAATTAAATGTGTTTATCAATAGTTCAGTTAATACTGACTGGTATATCGAAGAAAATCACTGAAATATTCAAATATTTTGGTTATTTAGTATATACTCGTATTACGCCAAAAAAGTTGTTAGAATGAACATATATAAGTAGCGTCCGATCAGATAAACCGAATCACTATTATTGAAGCCTCACAGTCGAAACTCATTTATTTTTAAATCTTTATTGGCGAAGTACTTTAGAATGGAACGCAAAGACTCGTGAAAGCTTTTTGCTTTTGTTTAATGTTTTTCTTTTTTATAAATAAATTCTTTCGGAAGATACTTCTTTCTCTGAAAATCTGACGGAATTTACACAAATCAAATCAAACCCATGGAGACGGTGATGGTGAGCGCACCAATTCGGATACTTTTGAAATCGGAAAGATCGCGATATATTTCAGCGTGGTGAAGTACTCGTATCAGAAGTTATTAGAATATATTATTATGAGCAAAGTGTTTCGGGAATTTACACAATCTCTTCATGGTTAGATAAACCGTAATTATTTAACGAATTTATCACATCGAAGTAATTATTTTTTTAAAAGCGTTTATTACATATTTAAAAAAAATACAAAGTAAAGTGAATACAATTCTAAAATAAACGAATTTCTTAAAAATAATTGTGTTATGCATGTTTCAAGTATCTATACATTTTTATTTCATTTATAATTTTTTTGGTTCAGTTTCTCTGTGTACGTGTGTGTGTTCTGTAAAATGAAAGAAAATTTATGTGATTAGTTTTTCTAAAAGTGGAAACTAAAGTGTGTGTATTCAGTAGAGACCGCGATGGATGGAGGCAGTACAAATCAACTATTGAAATTGGCTATCAAAGAGAGTGGAACAGGCAGCAAGTGGGAGAGGAAAGTAGAGTGAAAGTGAGGGACTCTTCAGCAAATAGCGATATTTTGTTTGATAGCATTTTACCCAAGTTAACCCAAATCTTTTATAAATTATATGCCAAAGACATTTGTTACAATGCAGAAGGGGTGAGAGGTATTGAGACTTTTAATAGGTGCAAATTAGCAGATAATGTATTATAAATGATTTCATGCATCATTTCTGATAAAAATGCTGTGGCATTTTAGTGTTATTTGCTGCAAAGTCTAAACAATGAAAATGTATTTACTTAATAAAAAATTACTTAATAGATTTCATTTTCTTGATAAGTCCTTTTTTGCTCAATGGCCGATATCCAACTGATTTTCAAAATAACACTTAAGTAATATTTTATAATCATTCGTCATACAATATTTTTACAACTCGTAAGTTTTATTCTCCTTTGATTACATGGATTTAGAACGCAATATATTTATCGATTCTTTTATCATCGATAGCTTTTCATTATGTCGTTTAAAATTATTGTTATTCGACATCATTAGAAGTCGAAGTGAGTTGTGACTTTATTGTGTTAAATACATTTAAAGCGATAACTATATATGATGTTATATATCGACGTGTAAACTTATAAACAGTTTTTATCTCTATGAATTATGACTATTTATAAATATATATAATTGATTAGTTTCAACTTATCTTATGTCCTATAGTCAGATAATTATTAAAAATATGGCATATCAAAATCATAAATCCATAACTTGTTATCTCTATTAGTTACTATAACATTATAATACTGTTACATTATTGTTATAACTGAATACTGTCTAGAAGTTAGGTATATCGACGATTAGGAACTCAATTGAATAACTAATTGTCCTATTTGTGGGTTAGGAAAGGAAGAAAAATTTGTATATGGAGAAAAGGTTTAGGATATGGTATGCCCGATTTGCACGAACTAAAAGCAATCCCTCTCGTGTGCCAGACCGTCTCTACCCTGGAACGTCCCTGTGTTAGTTACCCATTAAAAATTGTTTTCTTCGTTAGCCTACGTCTAGGCCTCGCTTAGGTTTATTTGTTTGCCTCTTTGCCGAAATTAATCATTGTAAAGACCATATTTTTATATGGTCTATGCCGATCCAGTTTTTTTCAGATAACATTATCTTCGTTGTATTATCTTCGACGTTTATTTCACCAACTTTGTTTCAAGTGATGTTTTTTCGGTGTTCCATCTGTTGCATTTGAAGATGGTATGTTCAGCGTTGTTTTCGTCTTAATTACCGTATCTACATTACGGATCCTTTCCTTCGGCAATGCAGAAAAGGTGTTTTTGAAAATATTCATGACCAGAAAGGAATTGGGTTAGATAATACTTTACCTCGCCAGTTTTCTTATTTGACCATTTCGCTACATGTGGGATCTTGCTGTCCAACTTTCAATGCTTTATAATAGCTTAGCCTAAATTGAATCAATTTAAATATATAACCCAACCATTTAAGTTCAACCTGCCGCTTTCATTTTGGCCATACAAAACAGGAATAGTTAACCAAAATGACAGTTCTAAATAGTAAATCGGAGCTTTAGGAAGAAATCACAAATTTCCGTTAGAATCAGAATCAGAAGTAATTATAGACTTTACAAATTTTTGAAAAAATGCAAGTGTTTTAATATATTTTAGTTTATTTTTAATTGAAGGCAATGGTACGGTTTTTATGAGTATAAATTTCACTCCAGCGTGAAAGCTATTCAACCGTTGCCTTAAAAATGAGTATTTGAAATATTTTTGCGCATTATTATTATTACATATTATATAAATATTGCATATATTTGATACAAACTTGTGTACATCTATTAAAACGTCTAAAAGGCCTTTGAGTCACGTAACAAACTCCTTTTATTGAACTCTTTTCAGAAATTGTTTATTCAATAGAAGAATAATTCGGTTATTAAATTTCCTACATTTTAATATATATTTTTATAAATTTTAGAGAAAGCACGTCTCCATGAATCAACTCAGCAAAGTAAAAATTATTTTTAGTAAAAACTGTTTAACATTATACCCGTGCAATTATACAGTTTACACTAGGAAAAAATAAGTTTGTCATGACGTTTGTATAAACGAGATGTCAGAAACTATAAATCATATGATATATTCTTGATCAGATGAACTACATATCCGTCTAACAATCTATCAGCCTAATCTTTTAGATTTTTATGCAAGGTTTTATTTGTAAAAGCAAGCAGATGAAGTCGACTATATAAATTCATAAGTCCACTATATCTTATAATTTCCATAGAAACGGGCTTTTTAAATGGGATATTATTTATAAATAAGTACTTATACATTAGATCCAATTTCATATTCTTAAAACTATAAAATTAAATATGTAACCCATATATATATATATATATATATACCATTTGATTCGATAGCCATTAACTAATCATTAGGATGTAATAAATTCGTTATCATGCATTTAAATAAAATTTGAACAGTACATCACTGAAACATATATCGTACGAACCCATGTAATTCACAAATACCTATTTTATTTAGTTCAGAATAGAAAAATTCCTATTTACTTTGCATATGAAATTATATGAAAGCATTTGAAATCAGTGTTTAGGTTAAAAAACGTCAGTCTAATTGGATGACTCCAATAAATTCTGAAGAACCTGACAGCGTGAAATAGTTAATATACTAATATAAAAATAAATTGTAGACATATACGAGTATTACAACAGAGATAATAACATATTTTAAATAGTTTGCCACAGTTACAAATGGGGTACTCACATTTATAATCAAGGTAGGTTTAGTGACACAAACCTTTTGCATATTAATATGGGTTGAGAGACTTATGAGCTGTCAGCAGAAATTCAGGACTTACACAAAACTCGCAGTTAAATTTTTTCATAAAAAAAGTTAGAATCTGCATTAGTTCATGTATTATCGTTGTGATTATCGTTTTATTTCCATATATCCTGTCAACTACGCTTTACAGCCAGCGAAGAAATATTTCCGTCACGTCTACATTCAATATCAGCTTCAATCAATAATACGTGACAGTAACATAGTAGTAGTAAACCTTTTTTTACATTAGTTCAGTGTTCTCAATCTGTTCAAAAGTGGAGCTCGCACCAAACCTGGCATTTATAGATTTGCTTCATATTTCTATTATGACTTAACTAGTCACTAGATATTAATCTTAAAAAAAAAATAAAAAATAATCTTCATAACATATTTGTCAGTGTAGTATTTATGACTGGCTAAATAAAGAGTGGACGTCAGATCAAGAAATCAAATGTTGAATAGAGATAAAACTGGTATGCAATAGCAACATCAGCATCAACTTACGTATCCGCTACGTTAAATCCCATGTCTGATCCATTCTATACTATGTCTTAGAATCTTGAAATTTAAAAATCCTAACAATGAAGAAAATCGCATCGTTTAAAATGTGGTGCTACAGGCGTATTCTGAAGATTCCTTGGACGAACAAAATTTCAAATGAAGAAGTTCTAACAAGATTAGGAAAAGATAGAGAACTCTTAAAAACTATCAAAATAAGAAACACGAAGTATATTGGTCATATATCATATCATCCGGAGTGATATACTATGATATAGTATATCATCCGGAGTCCAAAATATGAATTGCTGCAACTGATTGTGGAAGGCAAAATCGAGAGCAAACGCGGCAGAATGAGAAGAAAAGAAATGTCTTGGTTGAGGAACATCCGACACTGGACAGAGTTAAGAACGATTAGAGACTTGTTACATATTGCTAGAGACAGATAGAACTTCAAAAACATTATTTCTAACATATTATAATTTATATGATTTTATAAGATTCAATTTTTGAATAAACAATTAAAAAAGAAGAAGAAGAAGAGTACCTATGACTACTGTTTATATAGGCTTTTGTTAATCGTAAATTTTTCTTACCATTAAAATTGATCCAAAAAAATTTCTTTACTATGAAGACATTTTTTAATATTTTCTCTACACTGTTTCCTCTAGAAAATTTAATTTTTTTATAAAAAAAAAAATTTTAAAAAATTGAATATATGTGTTTACATAAAATTTGTATACAAAATTAATGTTTATACAATATTTCAAATGAAGCATCCCAATTCAAATTCATAATTGAACACTCGCAATGAAAAAGTTGTACAAATTGTTTGTGTTTGTGTTCAACAAATTGCGTACATTTTCGCAACAACAAATTTAATTTGTTTAATTTTATGTTTTAATCGAGTTAAAAAAATTATGAAATGAATTATATGTATATCTATATATACTTTTGTATAGACATTTTGTATGTAAGAAAAGTATTTAGCACATGGGTATGAGGTTTGCGTGATTGTTCGGGTGTTTAAATTTAGTGCCATGAGGGTGAATGACTTACGTGGTCATGATCGACTATTCGTCAACTAATACTAATATTATTTTTTAGGTAATATATTAAGGGTAAAGCTTCTAAATGGATAAATCAACTCCAGCTTATTCAACTGTGCAGACACATTCCACATCGCGCACACCGTCGCGTCGATCATCCAAAACATTTTACCGTACTGAGTCATTACCGTCTCCGCCACCGCCACCAGATCTACGTGAGAAGAGTGAGGAAATCTTTTTCAAGTATCCACCAATCAGAAAAGATTTACCTGTAACTTACGAAAAGCTACTTGATTTTGAGAAGCGACAGGATGAATTCAACAAAACCTTGAATAATCTGATAGAGCATGGCTGTCAACTCAAACAGAATGTTGTGAGCCATGACACATCATCTCAAAATATTGATGAAGTATTAAAGTGTGCGTGCTGTCACCAAATACGTGAAGAGTGTACTAATTTCATTGAACCATTGCATCGACGATTGGAGAACTCCATAACAGGTGCGTTAGCTGCTTATGGGGCCGTTGAGCAATTATCACGCATGTACTCAATATGGGATAAATTTCTTGATGCCGAAAGGAAATGGCATCGACAGAAAGAATGTTTAAATTATGTTAATTTACTACAAGAGAAAATGTCAAGGGTATGTATTTACGGCGTATATTCATATGTCTACTACTAATTGACTTCTTAAAGGCACAATCAGTCAAGGACGCAAAACACAGTAAATACATCGCAGAAGCCGATGCAGACTTTGAAAACACTTTGGCTCTATTAGAGACCATATTAACGAAGAATCCGTCTATCAAGAAAGCAGACTTAAAGCAGTAAGTGTATAATTAATAACTAAAAAACTATTGTCATATTGTCATAAAAACTCTATTGCCATAGAGCCTCTGTTCTAAGTTTGAAATGAACTTCGTTATGGAAATAGGCAACCAAACCATGTCAAGCATAATTTACGTTGTTCTACTATTTGTTAGTTATGTTATTATGTTATACTAGCTGCTTTTCGTTCCATTATTCTTTTAAATATCAAACTGCTCGGAAGAGACCCCAGCGATATCACATTCATAATTTTTCATTTCACAATCTAAATCAAATCAAATAATTCCAGCTATTAACGTTCTACCATAAATAGAAACATTTGAATAGTAAAGCCACCGGCTATTAGTCCTAAAAATTATTATATTTTTTAATATTGAAATTATTTATACAGATGTTTTTTTTTTAATGCTATAGCACATCTGTCTATCCTATTCTGTCTATTGATACTATTAGCTAGAAACTTTACTCCGTTTAACCATTTTTGAAGCTGTTACCTAGCACTTTGATTTAACTAATTTGGCTATATGTATTCGTATACGAGTGCATAAGCATATATTGCTTGTGAGTTTAGGGTAAAGAGATTTACTTCGCATTCAACAATTCCTGATAGTAGTTCTATAACTAGATCTTTCTTGACATATACAATATTTAATCTAGCCTCAATCTAGTATTCTTTTAGTTTATGTGTACCAACGTTAATTATATAAGTTTGCTTTATCTTAACATCATTATTATTATTTTTGTTATTATTATTATGTTATTAAATTGTAATTAATATATTCCAAGAGTCGAAGGTCTTAGCTGCCATTACTTTCTAGTCCCTTAAATATTTTATTTTGGTACATCTATGTTATATATACATATATATATATTTAGTAGAGCAAACTTTTGTAATAATCACATATAATGATTTATTATTTACAGACAACGAGAACGCAGCAAGTCGGTCGCTTTATTAGACGAGCACGAGACCAAAAATGTGAATTCCAGACAACGTTTACTTCGTCGTCAAAGTACCTACAGTGATGGTAAATCAAAAGTTTCGAAGTGGACTAAAGTAAAGGCAGCTTTTAAATGGGAGCGAGCCAATGTTCCTGCATTAATGGAGAGCAATAAAGAAAGCACCAATAATGTTGGACTATTGCCCATTAATCATGAAGTTGCAAGGTAAAAATTTGTTCTAAATGTGAAATTGAATAAATCAATATGACCATAACCATTGTAATTATTGGTGATGAAATTATTTTTTAAAAAAATTAACGAACTCTTATCTCTTTCTTACTTTGAAGATTAATTTTTATATATTATTATAACTTCATATATACTGTCATTAATTCCGTCAATTAAAAATAAATGTTATTAATAAATTCGTATTTTCTTAAATAAAATAAAATAAAATAAAATAAAATAAAATAAAATAAAATAAAATGAAATGAAATATAATCATTATCAATTATATTTTTCTTAGATATTTACGGGTACCAACAAATCAATGTGGCGGCAGCAGCTCTGCTGATAGCATAATGAGTTCATCTTCTGGGCATATACTAAGCGAAACTGGCACACCAGGCACAATTAGTTCAGCAAGTTCAATGGACGATATAGAAAACAGTTGCAGTGGGAACACAATCAGTAAGTATTTCTGTTTGTATTTGTATTTTTAGAGTAGCAAAAAAATTATATTATTTAAAGGACGAGATTCTACCAAAAGTAATGTCACAACAGGAGACGATGGTGAACTAATTGCATTCGAATATCAAAAATCGGAATCATATGGTGAAAGTGATAGTCAAAAAATTGGCAAGAATGAGTCAAACATTCGTAACCTAGTGTTTCCAAAATCAAATTCTAATAAATCTTTACGAAAAGCAAAAGCAGTTCCAGAAATCGAAGTTTTACCTGAAGATGTCGCTGTGGACATAAAAATTCCAACAACTAGAAAGAAAGCTAAGCTACCTCCAAGTCCACTCAATCTTAATTTAAAACAGGTAATATAGTCGCAAAACTAACTTTCGAAAAGAAAATCTCGAATATATTGATTTCAGGACTTAAGTGATGTAGATTCTTACTACTCACCAAATTCACTGAGAAGTCCAAAAGAAGGCACACAATCCTTAAACCGTAATAGAAAAGTTCATTCTCCTGGCAATTCTTCCGTGCCTAGTAGCCCGTCTCGACACTCCGATTTTTTTGTAGGATTTGGTAAGTTAATTACTTAGCCAATGCTTAACAAATTGAAATATATTAAAACTATATATGAAATGATTGCATTTTTAAGAGAGTGAAGATTTATCAAGTGGTGATTTTTCTGAACCCGTCACACCTAGCAGAAAAACTTTCCAACAACAACAAGATGAAATCAACCTTAAATATCAAACATTGCGTGCCAAGTTGGATATGGAATTTGAAACTAAGCGAAGAGAATGGGAAAAGTTGAAATCAAATCCAAATACCTGTCGAGGTATATTTTCATAAATATTTTTCAAAGAAACATATTCCACAAAATGTTTTCAATTTCTAGCTTTAACACTGATCAGTCCTTCAATATCAGAAGAACATTCTCCCAATCAAGTAATAAGTTCAAATTTATCAGCGAAGTTATTGGAGGAAAACTTAACACCCGATTTTAAGAAGAAATTACGTAAGTGGCGGGTAAAAAAACAAATCTCAGTTGGTGGCTCTCATGCACAACATCAACCCCCGACTTCACCAACACAAATCCCGAAAATAGATTGGAACTTATGGAAAACAGGTCAAATTAAATTAGAGGGCCAAGGTTTAACTCCGATGCCTGATCAAAAAGATTTACCAGAAGATTTTCAAAAGAAATTAGGTATGAAGAAATAAATCCATAAATTATTTAAATTCTTATGTAATATATACATATATGGTACATATTATGGACGATTTTGCAATTTAGCAAGAGGCAATGAAATTATTCTCGTTGTTTTTAAAAATAATAAAAGCTGTACATAAGAGTAACGAATATTTACATAGCTTCTTTCACAAATCTTATATTTTCACTAACTTAGAGTTTATCATTAATGTTGCGGTAATTGTTTTTATTAAAACATATATCTATAGAGTTAATCCTGTAGACGTGTTGTAGATCTCTTCTATAATATTTGAAACTTAATTTCAGAACAATGGAACAAAATAAAGCGTAGCGGTGGTAATGATTCTCTTAAACGACTTACTAAAGTTGATATTGGCTATCGAAAAGTTACAGATGAAGATCGTGGAACAAGTGCAGAAAAAGATAAACGTACGGATAAGCATAAAACACATGAGAAGGACAAATCAGAAAAGTAAGAGTATTGATTTAATTATATAGTAGGAAGCATTAACATATGTATCTGTCAATAAGGTTGGCAAAACTTAAAGCAATTGTGAATGATCATCCCGCTAAGAAGATTGAGGTTAAGACTTCAGCAGGTGTTATGAAATTTGAAGGAATATCGAGAAAGTTCACACGCAAGTTATATGAATGGGAGAAAGCGCGTGGTATTGGACCAGAAGCTTCAACATTTGCACTTTTACATCCCGGATATTGTCCGATTGATGTTGGCAGAATCACAAAGGAAACTCATAATAGTAAGAATTAATAATCCCCGACATCGATTGTATTAATAAAATTTATTTCAAATAGTTGCTGAAAACTCTCCTACACTAAGTCGTTCACTTTCACTGGATAGTATTGCGCCCAATATGAATTTGCCGATTATTTCACAACAAGCCTCAAGTCTATCACTCAACGATGTCAATGATCTTAAGGAAATGGAAAGCGGTATAAGTAGTTCAGGTCAATTACTAGAATCTGAATTTAAAAAGTTCGAAGAACCTGAAGCAGTTATGGTTGAAGTTGAAGATCATATAGTGGAAACAGCTTCACCGTTGATAACTGCCAACACTTTAGTGGAACATCAGACCCCTGTGTATAAGTATGAAGAAGTGGCGTGCAATGATTATTGGTAATTAAAATCTTTTGTTATTATTATAATTACATAAGTTATTTCCAAAAGTATTTGTAACCTGATTTCAATTTTGTATTAACAACAGTAACACAAAACGTATTCAAAGCTACGAATCTCATACAAATTTAGCGCCTTTGCTGGCTGCTCTGAAACGCACAGATGAAATAATCGCTCACTTAGAAGAAGCAGCACATGGGACCGGTGAATTAACAGAACTACAAAAATGTAAATGTTCACTTCTGTACATCCGCAGTGTGTATCCATATTATACTGAGAATCTGATGAAGTCAAGTGTTTTGAATGCGATATCCGACGTCCAAATCGAACTAGGGCGCTTGAGTGAGCTGGTAAAGCATTACCTATATATATGTAAGAATTTTTTAACAACTTATATGTTTTGTAGAGTGAAAAGTCCCCATTGAATGAAGCATGTTGTCAGGAAATTATGGAAGAACGCTTTATCACATACAAGGAAGAAATAAGAGGTTTGCATGAATCCTTGGAAATGCTGCATCAAAACATAAGTAATTCTTTGTAGAAATTTTTATTCAAAATTCGATATAACCATATTATTATCACAGCTGTTGGCATTAAACGCTATCCTAAAGACATAGTACCAGATATAAATATAACATCTGATGATGGACATAACGCTCCGATTCATGCAGTTTTTGTTCTCGATTCTAGTAATCCAGGTCAAGAACCTTCAGTTGTAACAATGTGTAGTGCAGAAACATCAAAAATCGATCAAATGAATAGCATTCGTTCTCTACGTAATGTAGCTGAAAATTCTGTTTCCAACAACAGTCACAACAGCAACATCAACAGTAACAATAACAGTAACAGTCACAGCAATGGTAATGTAATAACTACTCCCAGTAGTTCGAGTGTCGCAGTGAAAAAAAAACTACGTTTGCGTAAAATGGGTTCACGTCAAAACAGCAAAACCGAAAGTGATAGCAGTGATAATGAGACGCAGAATATTGCCGACACACCCCGTCGTCTAAAGCGGAAAAACTTTCGTTTGAAACAAAGGTCCCTAGATGAAGATAGTAGAAAAATTGATGAACAAAATTGTAATCCCATTGCAGACGATATGGTTTATGTTCTAAAAGTAAAACCTGGTAAGCCAATCGAGCAACTTCAAAACGTCTTAGATACTGAAAAATGTAACTATAATGTCGCTATACCCACTTTAATGGAACCCTATTCACTGCACCCAAAGCAAATGGAAGGTGAAAAGGATATCCATAATTCAAACACAAACATATTCGTACAAACCAAGAGAAAAATATTTACGACAATCGACAATTTACCGAACACCATCGATGGTATAGCAGTTATATCGGAGGATATCGACAATCCTTCTCAATCTGACAAAAATAATATTGACATTAATCGTGCAGAGCATCAGAGTGACAAAGAACTGATCGGTACAATTGGTAAAGGGAGTGAGTCAAACAATTTTGAAACCATACAACCGCGTCTGCTACTGCGTAAATCCCTTAGTCTAATAGAAATCGGAGCGAAAGAAAATGACGATGAAGTCAAATATTACAGCAATGAAGATGTGAGAAATCAAAAATCTAAATCGAAAAGCAAGGTCCGCCCGCCATTGGCTTCCGATAGTTTTAGAGTTATAAACAAAAGTTATATTGGACTTCCTAAAGATGTATTAAAGCTTACGATTAATACAGTGCGAAAACCTCATCTTTATAAGAAGAACTCAGATAAATTTGCTTTACTTCATGCCAGGCATAATAATGGCGGTACAATTAAAAGAATTGAAACTAAGTTTTCTAAATCTAATTCCGGTACAGCTGTGGATCAAATAAATCTACTAACACCAACCAAAATCAATAATGGCACTTTAACTGACTGTCGCACACCAGAACGAAAGTCTTTAACGCCAACAATAAATCCCGTAACATTTGAGTATCCAACAACAATCTGTTCGGAGCCAACAACTCCACTTTTGGAGCAAATAAATCGACCACATACGCCTTTGTCAGAGCGTGCACAGCGCTTACAAAAAGCAAAAGAGGACTTTCTGCAAGGTACCGTACCACGTGTCACACCACATTATAAGCGTCGTGATGAAATTGTGCGTAACGATACTTGGGAACAGTACAGACGCAGTGATCACAGTTTAAGTTCTGCGACTGGAGATGAAAATAATCTTGGTAAAAGTCTAAGCGTCGATACAATAACAGCAGAAACAACGACATTATCGGATGCTGGTACAGATCAGGATTTTCTTGGTTATGACTCATTACCACGACATTCATCTGTCAGCCGCTCAGGAAAAATTTCTAGTAAACTTGGTTTTGCTACGCTCGCTTCTAAGTTTCGACGGGTAAAAGGTAAGAAGGAACCATCAACTGGCAATGGATCCAGTAGTGCGCTTTCAGCTTTATGTCGCCAAACGTTATTGGCTGATGGCATAGCAATACCACAGATGATTAGTACCAATGCGAAACCAGGAGAATGTGTTATTAAATCACAATCTTCACCACAAGCTATTTCGGCCACAGCTTTAATGCCCCATCAAAGGCGTGAAAATGAACGTTTAAATAAATCACAAAGTGAACAATATGTTAAACCCCAAAAGGAAAGTTGTGTCTAGTCATTATAGGTAGTCAAAAACTCATAAGAACATTTTTGTAAGAAAGAAATAAAAAACTTGTAAAAATAATTTATACAGTCGATATAAACGATATGTAGGTATATATATATTTCTTAGATATGTGTAATATATGGATAGGTATTATCGCGCTGCAAATAATTTAGTTTGCGATTAGAAATTAGTTTAGACTGCCTACCAGTTTCTAATACAATAGATAATGTTTTTCAATCAACAATATTTAAAACACAAATTTGACAGAAATACGAAATAATATTTAAAGTTTTAATGATATGCTCAAAATCTAGTCATTTATGTAGAATTATATATCTATTTGCTATTTTTTGTATGTATTAACTTTTTGTACAATGTTTAATGTTTTTTTATTTAATATTAATATTTTTATATTATACGTATAATAAAAGTGAGTTTGTTAAACTCTTCCGAAAAGTTAATCATTCTGAAGCATTTATACAGGTATTAAGTTTAATAATATGGAACAATATTGGCAAAGATAGCCACGTTAAATGAAGATTCTTTTCAGATCCCAAAACTCACCTGGTGCAAATTGGACAGGATTCTGGCAAGTCAGCTATTGCAACTAAAGCGGACCAACTCAGTACTATGGTATCAGGTACTGTAGATTTGTAGATGAGAGGGACACTGCTCTGTACCTCATGTGTCAGGGCCCATCATTGGTTAAAAAAAGATTTAATTTCTTTATGGCTCGTTTTCGTACTGCCCTGATAAGGCTGTCAAATTTTTAGGTTGGTTCTGTTTTATTCGAATGTGCGCGCCTTGTCATAGCGACGTTGTTTACGCACAAAATGTTTGGAAATTCTACCTTTAATGTGGTTCTCCAGGTCTAGTCTAGGGGCGTTTTCAATCGAACTTAATCTAACCTATAGCACGCTATCTGCCTTCTTGTTGGGATTTTCGCAATAACCAAACAAGAGAACCCGAAAAACTACATCGACTGAAAAGAACAAAGCCAATAGATTTATCTAGAAAGTGTTATATTGAAACTGATTAATATATAATGGATTGTACCATAATCCATTATTGCGAGAAAATGTATTGAGTACTGTATATGTATTATCATATATTGACAGATGTACACATACTATTGGAAGTTAAATAAAAAAATATTCGGATTTTCAGTCCAAATATTTGTAGTGTAGATTTTAATATCGTCGTGTCGAGAATCTTTCATGTATATATCATATATTCATATACATAAATATCTGTGTTAATAGATTGGTATACTTACATAAATTGATACTTACACTTAGTTCAAACGATATTCAATATTAACCTTTTTTTGATCGTTAGTTTAAATTAATTTATTTCATTTAATGGTCATTAATAATAATGTACCTGAATGTGCCTTTTGCTTCGGATTAAACATCAAAGCATTCACAACGAAAATAGCAATTTTCAAAATTTTAATACGTTTTCCTGACCATCTGGCACATCACGCGCGCAGGATCATTTCAAACACGTGTTCACGACAAAATCTAAGGTAGACATAGACACTTAAACTTAAACTTTATTAAGATTAATAAAAAAATACTAATACATATATTGAAATTATGATATTTGTAAAATAACTGTAGTCATTAGTATTAACTATTAGCAATAGTTCTAATGATTTTTTATGAATTGTAATATTTATTATATGGGAACATGTATATATATACTCATTATTACTATGTTGAGCCTTTTCCGAGTAAGTGGATCTGGGCACTTTTACTCTTTGATAGCTGGGGAATTTCTGCAGAGTCCTACCCATCTCACTGACTAATTTGTGTATTCCTCATAAGCTTCGTGATTATTCAATGACTGATCTAAGATATGCGTACAGCCCCGTGATTACTCTAAGATTAGGGTATACAAAGTAGGGCAGCCTGTCCGTTTTCGCATATAGCTTCTGTCCCTTATGAATTTTTTGACCAGATCTATTCTAAGGTCTCTTAGCATGTCATTCGTGCGGATGTACCATGGCACTTGGGAGAGCTTTCGAAGAGCCTGACTTTGAGCAACTTGTAGTTTCAGGGTAGTAAAGTCGGCAGCGACACACCCATAAAGTAGTACTGGTCTAATTATCTAATTATCTGACTGTATATCAGCTTTCTGTTCTTTGCGCTAAGGTTGTTGTGTTTGAAAAGTGGTTGTTAGCATTGCAGTGTTTTTTCGCAACTATTTCTTTCGACTTGTATGTGCTTGTGCCAAGTAAACCGCTTATCAAACGTGATTTCTAGGTATTTAATACTGTCCTCTCAATTAATCGCAATGTCATCAACTCTCACTCTCGGTATATAATCATAAAGACAACGTTAAATTTGTTTTATATATAAGGCCTTTTGCACTAGTTTATATGTAACGTAGTTTCAATGAAATTTGAGCACTAATATTTAAGTTCTTCCCTTATTTAGGCCTAACCATTTTAGAAAGCCCTAAGCGTGTTTCGTGAAAGTTTCCATCTTCCATCTTGCTTTTTTTTTAGTTTTTGCTATCAGTTGCTAAAAGTCATTATTTTTTATTCGTATAGATCTTTCGTTTAGTATTTGAATTTCTATATAGATTAAAAAAAGTAAGTACTGCTCTTAGGCATACTCTTCTTCTTTGTAATTTCTTTAAACTATGTATCCCAGAAAGGCATATAATATGATTTAAAAAATTGTACAGATATTTACTTTTAAAAGGTTCCTTTAAAATAAAATATCTTCTACGTTTTTATTTGACTACTTCATTACATTTTTGTTTTTTTGGAGCGTTATCTCCTCATTTTCAATTTTGAGAACTTGCGCTTCCTACTTTGCTCCTTTTCTTCTGTCGCTTGATCGGAAGCCAAAATTACTGAACTGCACTGGTGTTTATTTCCTTGAAGCATACATGCACAAGTACATGTCAGTAAGGGCAACACACAACTAACAAAAAATAAGGATATACCATTTTTAAGACAAAGTAGCACCAGATGACGGCGTGCGCCTCCGTTTGTGATCCTTCTAGCATATGTTGCAGTTTTGACTTGAGTCCTGCGTCCCAATAATTCCGTTCAATTTGTAGTATTTGGCGTTTTTTTCTTTTTGGTTTCATTATTTTTGTTTATAGAAAAAATTATGCTTATGTTTTGAAACTAACAGTTGGCCAAAATTGAAGAGCTGAGATACAAATAAAAAAATTGATAAAAAATTATTACAATCAATGATGAAAGCGTGCCCGTTGCCTGTTGAGTGTAAACTTACATATTTATTCCGAACTTTAGTGTATAAAAAACCAATCCTATATTACATAATTACATAAAAATTATAGCATAGACTGGATACGTTTTCAGGCCACAGGATGCATTTCTGGTATACCAAAAACAGCAAAGTAGAGCAACTTGCTGCCATATTCAGTAGCGTGCCAATTAAAGTTACATCAATCAAAATTTAATAATGAAATGACATTAAAAACTTGGAGAATACCGATTTTAAGCATACGTGCTCCATCAGTCATCGAAACAAGAAATGGTCTTTGCTTGCTCCCGCAATAAGTTTATAAGCTTATAGAGCTAATGCCACTGATGAGTTATGAAATCATACGTAAATGCTGTCTTCAGCTTGGTCGAGGGAGTACAGCCACTTGAAAGGTCAGCATAATTAAAACAATATTAAATAAATAAAGGAGCAATTTAGTCTCATGCAAGGCATTTCTAAGGAACAGTTATGCAAAACACGGTTTCTTTATTTTTAATTTACATTTTAGCATAAAAAATTAATTTATCTGAACTTTGTTGCAATAATGATCTAAGTTGCAATCTTTAACAATACTAAAAATAATGTATCTGCATATTATACATATATATATATAAATATATTACACAGTATACATAGCATAACTGCAATAGTTCGAGCAATTCAACATATGGTAGCAAACATTTCCAATTCAGTTTAGTTTTTGAGTACATAACAAAAGATACCTCCAAATTCAAACGACAAATTCAGTAGGCAATATTGACTTATATGGTCGCTATAAATAACACATAGATAAATTTCTAATTTCTAATTGAATTTCTAACTGATTTAAGTAAATAAAGTTAATACCGACAGAAATTTAATTAAAAATAAATTGTATAAATAATTTAAATCTTTTTGAATTTAGTAAGGTTATGTTCGTATATTCGTAACTCCAGATAGAAAAAGAACAGTGGGTTGCTGATTTGTTAATACTTTGCTTCCATAACATGGAAAACATTGTCACAAGATTTGAAAGAGTGTAGTAGTCTTGTAAGAAAGAAGAAATAATTTCTATTATATTCATATAAGAAGTTGATTATTTTAGTTGCTTTATCTAGTCCTATTTTCAAATATTCGTGTTTACATTTATACTCGTCTGTTTTATTATTTCTTACATATGTATTTATGGTACTTACTAATAGTTTTAGACTTATAGATGGGTATAGGTATGTTAAATTATAAAATTCCTTAACATCACAATAGAGAAAATCTGCTGTTGATTAGAAATTGTTTTGAGCGTGGTCATGAAATCATATTTTGCAATAAAGAGAGGATCTGTGTTATTTTGCCACAATAAATAAATCTTCCAATAAATAAATCTCCCATACATTCAAGTAGAGGCGGAGGTTTGGCTATATGTATGTTCTGACAGTTTGTACAATAACAGATGAATTCGAATGTGAGAAACTTTTAAAAGTAAAAAAAGTCCGTTTTTTTTATAAACATTTTTAATGCTAAAACTTTTAAGAGACGCGACAATATAAACCGATATTGCCATCCAAAAGTGTAGTTTCTTGAAAATAGTTGAACAAAAACAAAAAGTAATTGTTAAGATACTTTTTGTATGGAAATACGATATATAATGTTTAAAAGAAATTTGAAAATTCTTCGTCTTTTCTTATTATCTCCTATACATAATGTCGTTCCCCCTATTGTAGCAACATGCTGTTGTCATTACTGTTGCCACAATTGTTGTTGCTTTCAGTTGTTGCTGGCAATAAAATTTAAATGTTGTGTGCATATTTGTATGTCAGTACGGACATCGTACATCTGTGCAGAATCGTAGAAGTTAGAATT